CCCAATTTCGTCGGTCATCCGACGTGACGTCGAGAGTGACCGACTGAAAGGGAACAATTTGCATCACTGAAATTATTCATTTTTCATACTCACTTTGTGTTGGGTTTATCCTACGAGTCCATCTACGAAAACTGGAACGTAGACCTTCAGAGGGGAAAAATTGATATTATCCACAATTACATAAGCCACTTGTCACTGTATTGTACTGTATTGTCACTGTGTCACTGTTTTATAGAATTGCAAAATTGTACAAATCTTCATTAATTAGGCATAATAGTTCTTAACCAGAAGTCAATGTTTACCCAGAGGTGAATTGTTTGTTGTTTGGCAAACAGGCCTTAATTCTTCAGGAGTCCTCAGGTTAGGGTTTCTGTCTTCCTCCACCATCTTCGTATTGCTTTCCAGTAGTGGTTGCTCTTCTTTCCTCTGTAGATTATGCTGTTGTCTTCTGCAGGTCTGCAGTGGATGCTCCATTGAGTCTACAACAATTCTGTTTCAGTTTTGGTTTCTCAAAAAAAAAAAACACACTATACTATATCTGCTGTGGATGCTTCCTGCTGTTGGCCTCAAATGAAAGAGAAACTAAATGCAATATGCAAAACAAATAACCATAATCAGAAATTCCATATTTCTGGAGACACAAGTCATGTTCATATGGTGTTTTATTCAATTCTGAAAGTAATAAATAATCAAGTAATCATTAAACACTGCCTAGCTAAAGGTTGCTGTTTGAATTTAAATAGGCAAATACTTAAGATTCTATGATTGAATCATTATTGCCGTAAATGTCATGTTGCTACACGTTCTTCATGCTCTCTGATCCACTCTTTCACAATTTTAACCCTGATTAATCTTGGCATTGTCATCGTGGAATCTGGCCAAGATACGTCTTCCTACATGGTCATTTAAGAAATGAAAAGTTACAAACTACATCAGATATGGTTAAAAGAACTATTGCCAAACATATAACATGCCATAAACATAATAATCGCTGCAATAATGATCCAATCATAGACTCTTTAAGTATTTGCCTATTTGAATATAAGCAGTGATAATTCTCAAGAATTGTTAATTAGATGTAGATTTTAGATTGTTTTAAATGAGAAACATAATTTCTTATACTATCTTTAAGATCTTGTACAGCACATTTTACTCGACTATAACTCACTGTTCAGAGGCTGACGTTTGCTTCCTCTTTTGTGGAGTCCTGCTGAAGTTTCCCGACCGTCATCTATGAAGAAAAAAACAAGAAATAAGAGCGAAGAGTGGGTAAAGTAAGTATAATAAGGCACATTATTTCCCCCTTGGTACAATACTATTTTAATTAATGAATCCACAGTCCATATGTTTGTACTTATTATGTGAAAGCTTATGAACCGATACTGTATTAACAGGCTCACCAGGTTGTCTGGATGATCGGCTCAAGTCATCCATCTTCACCCTCAGTAAAGCACTTCAGGTGTGTTGTGAGCTAAATGAAAAGGCGTGACCTCATTATACTGTAAAAACTCAGAAACTGGTTGGACTTGATGTGACATACATTCCATACAACTTCCTGCATTATGATCACCAGAGCTGTGTGATCTGTTAGAGGACTGACTGCCACAAGAATACTGTGGCTCTATGAATTCCTATTCCTTTTTCAGAGACAGATCACACGGCACTGGAAATGAGGAACATGTAGCAATACATGAGGAAGAGGGAATTGGTCAGGCTGCAAACTTCACCACTTTCACAAAGAACACAACAGTATTGACCAGAGAGGGCCACCAGAACTTATTCCAGGTGAACTGAGTGGCACATTCCTCACCTGAATATATCACTGTATAACTGTGTCTCAGCTGATGGGGATTTGTCAAATGATGGAATCCAATGGCATGTAGATATTTTACTTGTGCTAACTTAATGTAATTTATTAGAACTTAGTTACAAATTGACTCCAACCCCATGCTTAAATCAGATCCAAATTTATACCGAGTTGAGGGGGGAAAAAAACTGTAGAAATCATTTTACATAAATATTAATTAAAAAAAAAAAGAACATTGGTGACACTTTACAATAAGGTTCATTAGTTAACATGAACTAAGAATGAACAACACTTCTACAACATTTATTTATCTCACTTAAAGGGTTAGTTCACCCAAAAATGAAATTAGCTTGTTATTTACTCACCCTCAAGCCATCCTAGGTGTATATTACTTTCTTCTTTCAGACAAATCCATTCGGAGTTATATTAAATATTGTCCTGGCTAATCCATGCTTTATAATGGGAGTGGATGGTAGCCCAATATTTGAAGTCGAAAAAATTGCACCCATCCATTATAAAAGAAGTCCACACGGCTCCGGGGGGTTAATAAAGGCCTTCTGGAGTGACGCGATGCGTTTGTGTAAGAAAAATATCCATATTTACAACTTTATAAACCTTAATCTCTAGCTTCCGCTAACTGTCGTACGCGCGTTCACCTAGCTTCCGCTAACTGTCGTATGTGCGTTCACGAGAGAGTGGCGTCCAGCGGATGACGTAGAGCGTTTAAGGACTCAAGGCCGCCGTGTGTGACGCTGTGAAACTACTTTGTTTGGTCTTCCAAAAATGGACACGACTAGAAATCAGTGGTTAAGTTGTATTTACAACACTGTTCCAGAACACTTCAACCCAAATATTCAGATGTGTGCAGCACATTTTATGGAGGACTGTTTCCTGGAAGAGTAGACTACAATGCCGGCTGTTCTGACTCACAGACTGTAAGTACGCTTTCATTGAAACACACAGACAGACCTGCGACAGAGAAACAGAATAATAGAGCTAGAGAGAAAAGCAGTGAGACCTGAGGTGGGAGAGATGTGTGAAGAGAGGTAGAATGCTCTGCAGCTCTTCCTCTGGTATGGAGGTCCACCGTAGATTGAGTGAAGCTGCAGTGCAGCGCTGCAGTGTGAAGCGCAGGGCCGCACAGTGAACAGAGTCCAGATCTCTGCTCTGCAGGTTAATGTAGTTCTTCACTGAACTCAACAGACTGGACACAAACCTAGCAGAGCCGGACTCATAAATCTCTCTGATTGCACACAGCATGAAGGCAGAGCTCATCCTGTACAGACGTATTTTCATTATTAAATCATTGTACATTTTTTATCATACTATTTATCATACTATGTTTTTATAATTGTCTACCGTTTAAACTTAATCCGGTTCAGGAATGGCAGAATTTCTCTAATGTTGACCTGAATGTTGCTGTATCTTAGGTTCAGAGTGATTTGCTGAATTCTGTGCTGCAGGAAATAATGAAGCTCTTCCCAGCTCAAGGAACATGAAGTCAGATCCCCGCCCACTTTCTGCAGGAAGCATAGAGTCAGTTCCTCTTCCTGAGCTTCATAGACACATTCAACCAGCTTCTGGAGAGTCACTTTGGACAGTCTACACAAACACACACACACACACACACACACACACACACACACAAAGAGTTCATTATATTTATATATTGTTATTGTAGATATAAAATCAAACGCTTGAAATGTGTCCTACAGTCAGACCTGAGAGTCACTGGTCCCTGGTGACACAGTAGGACAGACACAGAAACAGACTGAATCTTGTGTCCAATCAAGTTCAAACACTGGACAGTCCAGAGTCTCAGAAGGATGGCCAAGCTGCTCAGGACTCTGGACAGATTCCTCTCTGACTGCTGTTTCTCATTCAGATCAATTGTGATCTCATTAACAGTGATGGGAGCTCGAACCTTCATAGACCTCAATGCCTGCACTACTCTCACCACCATATAACCACTCAGCCTGAAAAGAAATAACACACTGATTGATGAAATGAATCAAACAAACAAACAAAAAAAATAGCATTTGAAATGTTAAAGGCACAATATGTAAGATTTTTGCAATAAATATCCAAAAACCTCTAGATATTTTGTTAACCTGTGTGCTTACATTATGCTAAAAATTTCCAACAATGCTTAAATCCAGAGATGTTAGCAATTTTAATCAGTGAAATGGTCTGTGTCTTTTTGTCAAGTTGTTTGAAGAAACCATGTTAACACGGTGTGTTTCTTGAAAAAATGTGGAAGATGTAGTGGTAGTGTAGGGATTTCTATCATGAACGGACACTGATATGCCACTGAAACAACTCATCATGAGATGACGAACTAATCCAGTCAGGAGATAACAGAGATCTTTTGTATCAGGACTGAAAAGTTCATTCACGACATATAGATATCTCGTGATCGCTAATGTATGGAACCAGTGTAGGCACAGGAAGTCAATTAACTGACGCCCTCAAGCCTGCGGACACGGGATCTATGCATGACCATCACAGGACCCATTGAACATCTGCTTCCTGCCCTTCCTGAAACCCTTACAAACTTCTCTTACAACAAAAGAAAAAGGACCTTGCATGACATTTTAAAAGACAATCGTTTAAAAAAGTAGTGGAAATGTATCCACTGTATGTGTTATGCCGTATATATATATATATTTGATGTGTTTATTTATTGAAACCATGATATCTTAATCTTTGCCTTATAACTTTTCTTTTTAGTTATTACGATTACCGTGTATGCAAAATACCTGTTGTTTGAACTTGAATGAAAGCTTGTGTTATTCACAGAACATTGGTGTGAGTGAAAAATTTATATTCGGCATCATTTTCTGGTGATGATATTTTTATAAGAAGTTCTTATAAAACTTGTAGAAATACTCCCCATAAACAGCATGTGACTTGTGCACGAAAAAGGAACCACACAGGGCGTGGCTAAGCCCCACAGCCACTATCTGATTGGAACAACGACCCGTGGGACGGACTTACGCCGTGGATCAAAACCCCACTGCAACACAGATTCAATTGCTTCTCGCTGCTTACTCTGTCTAGAACTGTGGCTTTCCGCCTTGGTGACTGCGCGACAAAGCGCTCCCATGCCGTAACATCGCACAAGCAAAGTACACACTAAATGAATAATTTACAGAAATCTGGACATGAGTCACTATTTTCTCCATCATCTCTGATGTTTTAACCTCACCCGTCCCTCCCGAACCTATAACAAAAGTGTCCCTCGTGGGTCAAAATGACCCGAGGGCCAAAAATTACACAAATTGTTTTGGTCCAAAAAGCTTTCATTGGTCTATTTTTCAAAAAAAAAAATTTAAAGTTTTTTTTAGTGATTTTTATTTTATTCACAGTAAATTCTGGATATTTTTATGAAAATGAGCATATTTTTATAAATTTTTCACCAAATTATGATTACAGCCACTAGAGGGGCCTATTGAATCCTATGGAGATTCTTAAATGAGCCAAACAAGTGAAATCTTTAAAACTACACCAACTTGAGGCTTCATTAAGCTTTCAGATATATCTCAAGGCTTTCACATATATATCAAAACATCAAAAAGCTATATTTTGTAAAAAAAAAAAAGTTTTAAATGATGAATTTGAATCCAAACATATGCATATTCATAAAGTTTCATAAATACGTAATAAATATAATAAATATAAATTAAAATAGAAATATGATATAAACTCATTGGTCTCCGCCCCATCACTCAAATTTAACTGTTAAGTCAAAAAACAAATTCAAAATGACAGTCATTTCCCAGCAGAAACATCATA